TTAAATATAGAGACCAGTCCTTTCTATAGAAATGAGTAATCATTTAAGATCTTTGTGGTTTTGATTACGATCTAAAATTATATTACATATTTTGCAAAAACAAAACAAAAAAAAAATAATGAAAAAAAAATATCATTAATTATGAGGAGACAAACGTTCTATAAAAATTGTTAAGATTACATATGGAGTTAAGAAGAAAACCGGAAAAAATTAAAATTAATTCAAATAAAATATTTTTTTTTTTTATAAAAATAAATAAAGTAATTATTATAATTACATCTACATACAATAATATACTTATTATTATTACTATTGAATAAATTAAGGAAAGTATACAATGGTAGATAAGATTATATAGGGGTAAATAAACATGGCAAATACACCCATTTCCCAACTTGCGTGATCTACATTGAATTCGCAGAATATTTAACCAGTTAGTAAGAATGTTGTTTTTTGAAAGAATGTTCCCTTTTGACTTCTTTTAGTATTTTTTTCATATTATTTTGTATAAGTGTTCATTAACAAAAATGTGATGTTTAAATACAAGAAATGACCACATATCTCAAGATTTAGCTTATTGAACAAGAAATATTATTATTAAATATGTTCACAATATGTTGAAAGTTCTTATACACTATGTATGTGTTAATGTACATACATATACGAGTACATTGGTTTTATACTGCGTAAAATAGGAGTGTAACAAGCGGGTTTTATCTTGAAAAACCTTATCATAGAAGTTTATTTTAGTTCTTTTAGAGGAATCATTACAAAAATGTGCGAAAAAAAAAGATTTTTTTGCACAATCACGCGCTGTAACATCTAACGAGTGTAGTTAGGGAAATGTATATAGCTTTCTAGGTTTTTAAGTAATTAAATTAGTTCTATACTTTCGTATAATATTTTGCCCACTGTCTTAATGTAAAGGGTATACTTAAAGTTTTTCTATGAAATCTAAGTATTATTCTTTAGGAATGTACATATACAAAAATAAATTCCACAAACCACACAATTAGTATTTTGTATTAGTATTTTATGAAGATTAAAAAAAACATTGTATAATATCGATTTTGAATAAACTTATAAAAAACGAGAAAAAATAGAGTTGGCTGTGTAAACTCTGTGATACCCGTACAAATTTGTTATTCTATGTGCGTATAAATATGCGCATAAATATGTCACATAGACTATGGGACAGATTGTGACTTTAAGTTGTCGTATTACCATGTTAAACTACTATTTAAGTTGTATGGCTGCTACCAGAAGAGCCAAGCAATTTCAACGAGTTTTATCAAACACATCGGCCCTGGTTACTTGTTATCGGCCTTGGTTCTATTTACTTGTGCGAAATTTCAATACCACAGCTTTTATAGTTTCTGAGATATAGCCAAATAACTTTTGAAGTTGTATGGCGGCTACCAGAAGGAGCAAAATAGTTTCAATGACTTTTATCAAACACATTGGCCCTACTAATATATTTAATATATTCGTTTGTGAGAAATTTCAACTTTTACATTTTCTGAGATATAGTCAAATAAATAAGAAAGTTGCGTGGCAGGTACCCGAACGAATACCACGATCATATCCAATTTAAATAGGGTTCTGGCATTTATTACAATAAATCATTTGAAAAAAATTGGTTTTTGAATTATCGTTGGGACGGACGGACAGACGGACAGACAAAGCTAAACCGACTCAAAATATATATAAGACAATTATTTCTTACCATTATACAGGCCCCGAATTTCTGAAGAAACGGTTTTCTTTTCATTTGATTAAGAAAATTTCAGGCGATCACAGATTTTTTAAAATTGAATCACTTGATAGCTAGATTACAGCTTTGGATATGGAAAATATTCATATACTTAAATACTCAGTAATACTTTAAATTTTTGCTAAGACAAGTAACTCATTTTAAGTTTATATATTCGAGATTTCAATTATTAATGTTTTTCTTTTCATTTAATTTTTAGAGTACACAATTACAATATTTAATAAATTAAGAATATTTTTATTAGAAGAAATCTTTTTAATAATCGCAAAATATTAAGATTATATAGCCTTAATTAATATTTCATTTTGAATGATTGCATACAAACGTTTTGCGGTTGCCGAATTAAATTATTAAATTTATAATTATCTTGTGATTAATAAGCATTATAAATAATTTATAATTGCGAAATAAATTAAATTTTTTTTTAATTATAAGTGATTTGCTTATAAATTTTATTGTCATTTTTAATTTGTAAATTAAAAAATTAATATTGCTGTTGCCATATGGTATAATTAAATGCATTCTTAATGTCACCAATATGTCAGCAAATTACCTTTATAATAATTATAATTAAAATAGAGATGTTTGGATTCTGAACGTCATTTATGCATTATTATTGCAATTTTTTTGGGAAAAAAAAAAAATATATAGATTTTGAAACAACTATTCTCTAATTATTACGTCAAATATTCCATGATGAAATGAAATTTATAGTGTTCAAATTAATAATTTAATTATTCAAATTTTTTTCGAAATTGTTTTGAGGAAATTTTATTGCAATTGAGATTTTTTTGTGTTTAAATTTTGCAATATTATAAAGATAATTTTTTGACACTTGTCATAAGTCGTGTTAAATATTTTTTCGTATATAACTCAAATGTTTTAATTTATTATAATTTTTTGCATGTGTTTAATAATAAATTAATGCTATTAATCTTAATAAATATAAATGAGGGAAAATTAAATAGAACCTACGTTACACATAATAATTTTAATTTAGTTTAAAAAATGAGAAAAATACGAACAAAGAGGAAATTGATTACACCAGCTCTCCGATAAAAATACCACTCTCATAAAAATCACCAGCTCTCATATAAAAATGTTTTGTAAAAGCCACGTTACGTTACAGCTACAGAATAAACTGGTGTTATTAAATGAAAAAAAAAAACAAACATTTTTGTGTAAAAGCAAAATTATTTTTGAAGTTGTATGGCAACTACTCAAATCGGTGCTTTGGTTAAATTCGATTTTCTTATTTGGGGTTCGTCACTTTATTTAGTTTACGTTGATCAAAATTATTCTTAGGAATTTTGGAAAATAATAATAAACGCTTCGGAATAATATGCAAGATACTGTCAAATATCAAACACACAAATGGAATACAGTGTTGCCGCAAATTCTTGTTCAATAAATTTTTTTATTATTCCCGCCATTCTATTATGTTAACGTTTTAATAATATTATATTTAAATAAAATCTTTTTATTTTGCCATTTTTTATTGAGGTGTTAAAAGAAAAATATCTTATTCAAATTGATTTATTTTAAGGAGTAGCCACTAATCTGTCATGGTTTTATTGTTAATTAATTAATAAAACAAATTGAAATTTCAATTAAAGTCTTTATTTTTTAATATTTTTCTGTTTTTTATTAATTAAAATTGATCACTCTTTTTATATTGCAGTTATTTAGCATTGATTGCTGTTTACACTAATATTAGAAAAGTATTACACTTAAAATGCATATACTTTATCAACAACTTTCAAAATTTCGGACATTAACTACTTTTATAATCTAAAACTTCATTCATTTCTTATGAATATTGTTGTGAATTGATTTGCTAATATGCAAATGAGATTTTGTTAATTGCTGCTTTGACAATTGCATACATTTGCATTTTTTTTTTTAATTATCTTAATAATTATCGAATTTTAATATTAAAAAGTGGTTATTTCTTTTAATTAACTTGTTTGCATATTGCCACTTAATTATGAAATAACAATTATTTAATTATTCAAAAAGTTAATCAACTTAATCTATGCGTACGTGTTAATTTTGTTAAAATAAAATTTTTAATTTATATTTTAAATTAAGTATAGAATTTTATTTACAGTTTGACTGTAATTATAAGCAATAAATCTTATTTTGCTATAACAATTTGTTACTTGAAGTATGCAATATAATATGTAAAATTTTTTTACTAAAACCTAGACAAAATATTAATGGCGGCACTTTGTCTGATAACAATACGGGTGTATAATAAGAACAGTGATAAATCGCGGTTAGGATATTTGGAAAATTTAATAAGATTACATTATTTTGATCTCTGTTATTTTGATCTGGATGACAGTACTTGTCAAAATAATATTTGCATACCTTTTAAATTTTTTTTTCTATTTCGTTTTTTTGCTCTTAGGTTTCTTTGACAAATCTTTTTAATTTTTTATTAATTACTCCTTCTTACAGTCACTGACGAAAATTGATTAGTGATTTAAAAGTTTTCGTAAAGCCTTCAGGTAATATAACATCTGGTGAAAATTATGTCATTATGACATACATATGTTCTGTATCATAAGAGCATACCTTCTACTTTATGTCGTATAGTAATTCTTTTCTATCGGTCAGCCTACCTTCCCAAAAATTTTCAATATAGTCAGTGGCGGATCTACCAATATATATGAAAAGAGTAGAAACCTTCAGCCTTTTGTTTTACATAAACAAAGATTGTAAAACAAAAGGCTGAAGGTTTAGTTCTAGACTTTGATTGTATTACTAATTTTGCTTTGAAAGTGTGGAGGGGGCGGGGCGCAATTGAGTGCTAAAAATGTCTGAACCGGGCTTGGCTATAATCACATTATTTTAATAAACTCTTAAAATGTGAGCCAAATTATTAATTTGATGTTTTTGAATTTATAAATTAAAAGATTCGTTTTAGAATGAATCAATACGCCGGATAACACGAAAGAAATATTTGTTCATTAATAAGAATGCGTTATTCTTCATAATATTTCTCATAACCATATTTGACACTTTAAATTAACCATTTCTCACTTAAATTTGATCTTATTTTACCATAATTTTTTTTTACTCTACTTCTTTATTATTTGTTTTGAATCATATAAATTAAATTAATTTCTTTTAAAACAACTATATTTGTAGCATTTAAAAGAAATCCAAAAAAAAAAAAAGAAAAAAATTAATTTTTAATATTTTGCTTTTATGTTTTCAGGTGCAAGTCGTCGCCGTTGTTTAAGTATATTAAAAACATTGCGTGATCGTCATTTAGATTTACCTGGGAATCCAGTTACATCTTATCATTTAAAAACATTATTATTATATGAGTGTGAAAAACATCCACGTGAACTTGAATGGGAAGAGAATTGTATTGCTGATCGTATTAATGGAATATTTTTACAATTAATATCATGCTTACAATGTCGTCGTTGTCCACATTATTTTTTACCAAATATGGATTTATTTAAAGGTAAATCACCGGGTGCATTAGAGAATGCAGCAAAACAAGTATGGCGTTTAACAAGAATAATGTTAACAAATACAAGGTGTCTGGAAGAACTTTAAATATTTCTTTTTTTTTTGCTTGTTTTTTTGTTTTATTTTTGATTATTATTATGCTTTGTTTTAGAACTTTTTGCACCTTTGAAAGAAAAGAAGGTTTTGATTTATTAAATCAATGTTATTTTATGTTTTTTGGAATTTTGATTGATCGCGTAATTTCAAATTAGGAAAATCAAATGAAATCCTTAACACATTTTGTGAGAAATAACCATAATTCAATGTAAATTAGTTTTTCTCATACTTCAATGTATTGCATTTTACTATAGCAATAATATACTTTTGCTCTTGTTACCCAAAAAGCGTAAACTCTCTCTGAAATATTTTTAAAAAAATTACAATAGTATTAAATTAATTTCTATTTATTTTTTATAAACATTGAAAATTTTGTATATTAATAAAATTATTTTTAAGCAAGGCAGATTTCTGATCAATTGCTGGCAGTACCAAAAATATACAATACTCTCTTATTAAAGCAAGGTTTTATTCACATATCACATAATGTGTATGTCAAGTATTATAGAAGTAGTATTACATTTAAACAAGTATGCTCTACAAGAACACCTTTGTATAAGATATAACTTTGTATGGATGCACCTTTTATATACATAAAGCAATTTTTAGCAAAAGAATTGTACTGCAGCGAATTTTTCTAATAAACATAAAATGCCAGTTACAATTTCAAAGAATTTTTATATTTATAATAACCCTACACTATCTCGTATCAATATTTAGTAAGTTATGTGCGTTTTGCATCTAAGTTCAAATGGTTTAATCAATACCTACATATATTCATTAAAAATAACAAATTTATGGATAGTTCATAACCGATTCATGGATAGATCAAACGGTAAAGTTTTATGGCTTTTAATTATACATCCAAGACATACAACCCAAAGATCAAACCTATTTCTAATATTTAAATGCAACTATTATTAACTTCATTTTATGATAGTAATACGGCGTGAATTAGGACTTAAAATTTAATCTGAATTGATTAGCACAAAAAATATCCAAAAATTTTAATTGAATTAGGAGTTTTTTTTTTACCAAATTCATTTTCTGAAGAAAATTATGAAAATATAAGTCCATACTACCAAAAGGAAGGCACTCGAAACAAAATTACGTGCTTAAAATCAATAAAATTTAAAATTTTATATATTTTATAAATATAAATGAAAAATACCATCTAAGTGCAACATTCTTAACATTTTGTGTTATGCAACACACCAAGTGTATTAATGAAAATATACATGTATCGATATATAAATTGCAATTTTAATACAAAATGTATTTTATAATTTTATTATAATTATTGTCTCTTAGAACATTTAATTCGAAAAATTATATATTTTAAAGGTACATAGTTATATAGGAACATGAAAGCATACAGGGAACGAGGAAAATATTCTTTTTTTATTTTATAAAGAGTATACATTGTGAATATAAAGTTTGAGGGCATGCGCCGGCCAGATTAATTGGAAATAATATTAAAATGAATATAGCAAAAGAAAGAAAGGCATGAATTGGGTCTTGTAATAGCAACAAAATATCTTAGCAACAAAATTACAAAAATTGCAAAAATACATAAATAATGTTTTATTGCGATAGCAATGCAAAAATTAAATAAATGTGCCATGTAGCTAAATGTAAATGGTGTAAAAATGTTATGCATATAATGCGAATTTAATCATAGATGCATGTACATATATCTCTGTATATAAACATGCATAATTACATAAATATATATGGCAAGAATTAAAAAGGATTTCGAAATATTTCAAATATAAGTAACATAAAAACAAAAAAGGGTTACGGAAATAATCAAAAACAAAGCAAACATTACAAAAGAAACAAACAAACAAATGAAAGAAAAGAAATAAAAGGAAAAAACTGCCGATCCCAACTTTTATTTTTTAACTCATTATTATACTTACTATACATAATAATAATTATTATTATAACATATTTATATAAATAAGTGTTTTAAATGTTGACAATGATAGTTAATTAAATTAATTTATGTAATTTATTTATTTTTTACTATTATTTTAGTTTTCGTTTTGTTTTTTTCTTTTTCTCATAAAATAATCTACAGAAAACAAATAAAATGTAATTGAAATTAAAATAAAATAAAAAAAAAGAGAGGAGTTGCACATTTAAATGAATCACACACAATATTAAAAGTGTGCAAAAAAAATTACCTTTGTTATATACAAGAACAAATTTATTAAGGAAAGAAATGTGATCTGATATAAAAGAATCGCCAGACGATATAGTAGTTGGAGATATAACGTATAGTAAAATAAAATATCGTATTACAAAATTTAGAAAAATGTTATACTCGCACAATGCAGGTGTGACTGAAATGCAATGCATGTAGTATTTTTTTAAATTCAATGGTGTATAAAATAAAATGAATTTATATATTAAATTTAGTTAAATAATCTGGTCAAAAAATAATTCTTGACTTCATTGTTCTTAATTATAATTGACAAAATGTGACAACTTATCGATTTTAAAATCGGCTGAAAAATTTTTTTTTATAATTCAAGTTTTTTAACCCTCAACGGCAATTCTATATTTTTCTCTTTTAACTTTTTCACTTAAATTTTTATAAACACAATTCAATAACTCTAAAAATATTAATTGAGTATTATTGGTTTTGATTCGCTAAGATAATGTACTATAAATAGATAATTTTACATTGTCATATCGATATTACAAATGCCTTATCGTATTTATTGTTGAATTATTTGTATACTCAATTTTTTTCATCATCATTTGTTTTGAGGAACAATTTCTTTTGACAGAAATATCAATTGCTAAAAATTGTAAATCTCAATAAAAAAAATGGTGCATTTAAATATAAAAAGTGATGACAAAAATGGTATACAATTAGCATATCGCATGACAAGTCAAAATTTTTTATGATATAAATTCCAAATAATGGTAAAATTACCATGAAAATGGTACGTTTGATAGCACTGCAGTACACACGAATACTCTACTTTCAAAATTTTCTTTCATATTTGAAAAATTTCAAAATTCTCAATTTTGTAAATTTTAATCAATAAAATTTTGTAAATTTTTCCAAAAACAAAATTTTATTGCAATTTTTTTAATTTGAGTATTTCTTTAAAGATTTAGAACAAGAGCAGCTGCGAAATTTAATTTAATTGACAAATATATGTACATATATGTACCTTGCGTATGTATGTAGGTATCCATATAATATTTATATATATTTGGATTATGAAAACACTATTGATATTTAAAAGGTGTTATCTGAAAGGTGTTAATTAATTAATAAAATTAATTACTTGGTTTGAGTGTTTAATCCTTTGCAAAAAAAAAAATGAATATTTTTTTAAAAATTATAAAGGGTGTCACCATTTTTATAATAATAATATATGAAATAAATTTAAGAAAGTTGTTAAAATGAAAAAATACAAGAAAATACAACTCCTATTTGCTTTTGTTAAATTAAAGTTCGATAAGATTATAGGTATAAAGATGTCTGTCGATTCCCGATTTTTTCCCAATTTTTCATGTATTTCAACAGGATGTTGATAGGAATATCACAATTTGTGATTGTAACTATAGGAATTTTTTATTATTTTGTAAAGATTTGCTCAAATATTTCCCTTAATATATTTTCAATTAGACGCACAATTGCAACATTAGTAAGACTTTTACTTAAATGTCAAATCTTCATATTTTTAGATCACATTTCTTAAGAATTTCGTTTATTTTTAATTAAAATTACACTTTGTTTTTTTTTTTGTTCATAATTTTAAAAATTATCACATAATTTAATCATTTTGTAAAATATGTATACGAGTGATAAAAATATTTAATAAAATTACTTATATGTTAAATTAAAATAAATTTAAAAATAAAAGTTAAAAATTAAAATTTAAGTTAAATTTATATAGTTCTCTTTTTGTTTATTAATTTTTTATGTAAAAACAAAATATAAAAGTTACTGCTTAACTCTTTATAAGTATTTTTAAATAATAAGAAATTTTGAAAAAAAGCAAAAAAAAAAAATTAATAATTATTGTGTACCATTAAAATACCAGTTATTAAATTATGTATGTACTTATGTGTTTAGAAATATATCTATGTAGTTTTTTTTAGTTAAAATTTTAGTTTTTTTATAAATAATAAAATTATTATGAATTAAAATCAAAAATAATTTAATTCTCTTTGTAATTTATATAAGTAGAAATTTATCTAATATGAAAAAAAAAAATCAAAAATATTTTAAAATAAAGAAAAACGTAGTGAAAAAAATTAAATAATAAAAAATATAATAATGGATTGAAATAAAAATAATTTGATAAAATTAAATAAAATAATTTTTTCTTTACTTACTTGAATTAAGTATAAAATTGCTAATTATTCAATGAGATTTTCAATTAGTCATAACGTTTCTTACTTTTTTTGGAAATAATATATAGAGAGAATTTGAATGATATTTTTTTAAATTTTGTTCCCATTGACGAGGGAAACGTCTACTATATAGAACGTATGTTAAAGAAATTTTACAAATAATTTACAAATTAAATTTAAGTCGCTTTTAGTCAAATTCAGATTGCAATAGTTACAGTAGAGTTTAATTAAAACAAAATTAATTTTATTTGCAATAAATTATAGTTAAATTTTAATTTTTGTAAAAATTTATGTAATTTTTATCTTTAACATAAGCAAAAGGGATTTTATCTTATTCAAAAATTAATTGAAATTTTTTGAGTTTCTAAAAATTTAAGCTTAATGTTTCTAACATCACCATCATGTAACACTTTTGTTGCATTACTAAATTTTTTTTGATAAATTTAATTTTTATCTTTAACATAAGCAAAAGGGATTTTATCTTATTCAAAAATTAATTGAAATTTTTTGAGTTTCTAAAAATTTAAGCTTAATGTTTCTAACATCACCATCATGTCAACAATAATAGCGGACGGAATTAATTTAACTTTTTATTGATTTGTCTTAGAAAATTGAGTTTTACAAAATTTTAAAATTTATAAGCGAATAAATAAAAGAATATTATGTTAAAGTACGTTATTACCGTGTGGAAGTGAAAATCTCAAAAATTAACGTGCGACAAAGTTAAAAGCCAACAGAAAGATGGTTATGTTCTTGTAAATAAATTTAATCGTGTATAATTTTAAACTGATTGCAGGGGATATTTAAACCAATTAAAGAAATATTTAATTGAATAATAAAATTTAGCATATTTCTTCTAATTTTAGGTAAAATAATAAAAATACTTAATTAAATTTTATTATCCTTATATTATCAATTTATATTTATTATTAAATTTACAAGATATGTGTTTAATTAATATTCAATTTATTTAAAAAATTTTTCATTGAGGCATAATATATGCATGTACATATATATATATATATATATAGGAGTATGTGGACTTTTATAATGAAGATATTAAATTACATAAATATTTCTTATAGATTGCTGCATCCAAATAATTAAAAACGACAACTAGTATCAATTAAAAAAAATACCTTTGTATAATTTTAATTAAATGTCCTTTTTTTTATACCTATGTGTACACATAAAATGTTCTCTTATTAACCTTATTGCAATTATTGCAAATAATTAAAGTGAATTTATTTTTATTTATACGGTACTCT